GAGAGAAATTTAGTTTACATAAAATGTATGTACTTTTAACTAATCTATATATAATTAATCTAATTCGAGAGAGAATGGGTAATGGCGCACTACTTCTGCCCATTAACACTATGATGTGGGATGTGAGGTGTTAAAAACCCACTGTGAATAAATTGCAGTTTTTCGATTCCGAATAAATAGAACCAAACAAATTAGATTCAATCGAAACAGATCTCGCACATTTAACATGGTAGTAGGTCTGAGGTTGGCTACTAGTATTATTTGTGAAGCTACAGGTTCACTGTAGGCTCAACTGATAGTTCGAAAGTGTTAGTTGGTGTTTTTGAGGTCTTTAGGCTATAAATTTGTGCCACACTTTCTTCATAGCACAACCTGATTGATATGTAGGATGGACGTTACAGGAAATTATTCATGCTTTATTTGTTTGTTAATGAAAAATTAAATAGCAGAAGGAAATACAACAAATCAATTTACTGGAAGTAATTTGAGGTGCTGCATGTATAATTCCAGCTTCAGTCCAGGTTCTTTAAGGACTTGAAATATTATCTTCTAGAGCTAGAAAATAAAATAAAGGTGTGAACTGCTCTATGCGAGAACATTAATAGGTGGTTTGAGATTGAATTGTGATGTCATCTCTATTAAACCTGCTACTCCTAGGAATGCCTTAACAGTGCTTGTTGCTATCTTATGGTGGAGCCTACAGTTTTGGAGAAGATGGTAAGCAAATTCCTAATGATGATAGAAACAGTACTGGAACTCTATATTATTTGGGTCATGTTAACTAAGAAAGCATGCAGTTTTTTACTTCTGCATTTTCAGTGAGACTATAGGACAGAATTCTTGGTCTGTTGCATCCGATTCTTGAGCATCTTAGTTCATCTACCTCAATATATGGGGCTCCATGAAGATTTTTTCACACTTCACTATTTTAGGCTCTCCATACACTTAACATTATGAGCATTTTAGTTCTTTTTCTTCGAAGTATATGCCATGCATCATATGTCATAATGTTCTAGAATGGTAATAAAATGGATATTTAGCATTAAATGACAACTACTGAATAAACGATGCAGGGTTTATCAAACAGAAGGACTGGGGCAACCAGTATAAATGCAGAGAGTTCTCGCTCACACAGTGTATTCACTTGTATTGTTGAATCTCGTTGCAAGGTAATGAAGTTACTATTTTAAATGGTTTATTTATTTCTACCATGTGTTATAAGCATATTTATTCACTTGTAAAGCATTTGTTACTTTTTATGATGTCAAATATTAGGATATAAGCTTTACTGGAGAAAGAAAGCTGTCATTTTCTGAAATTTTTTCATTAATGAACTCAAAAGCTAGGATGGAGTAGGGAAATGCCTTGCTTCTTTTATGGGTTCTGTCTCACCTTTACCTGCTCTGTTCTAATAGAGTGTGACAGATGGCATAAGCAGCTTTAAAACAAGCAGAATAAATCTGGTTGATCTTGCTGGTTCAGAAAGACAGAAATTAACTGGTGCTGCAGGGGAGCGCTTAAAGGAAGCAGGGAATATCAATAGATCACTCTCACAGCTTGGGTATGTCGATCACTTTGGATTTATTGGTTTTTATGCTTAAAAAAATATATCAGAAACCTAAAGCTAACATCTGCTGGTCACTGATCTGGTGGTAATAATTTATCTTATAAATGTGGTTTGGTGCAACTATTTTGAAAATTTTATCCTCTAAAAGAATTGATAAAATGAGGTAGTATTCTTAAAGAATTTTATCCTCTAAAAGAATAACTACCTTGTGTTATCTATTATTGTTCAATTAGTATGGTATAAATAGCATGTGTCCAAGTAGTAGATTCCTAGTATTACAAGGGAGTAGGTCCAAGAAGATTGTCTAGCTATAGTTATTTATCTACCCCTTGCAAGCACGCAAAGATTGATATTGAGGAAATTAAGTGAAAATATACTCAATTTGATTTTGACTTGGAACTTAGCATGGAACAAGGACCTGGATTTAACTTTTGCCCTTAAGAAGTCTATGCCAAGTCCAATATGTTTGGAGCAAGCTTGATTTATTGGATTATGTGCCACGCCGGTGACACTAACATGATTACAAATAGAATAGATTGCTTGGTACAAAAACAAGTAAGTTCAATCAAAAGATTGCATGACCAGCAAATCTCAGACACAACAAAAGCAACAATGTGATATTTGGCTTTAGCCCTAAACCAGGAAGCAGTTATTTCCTTTCTGAAGCTCCAAAGTAAATTAGTTCCTGGAAAATGCAATAGCCTATAGTTGATAGTTAAGTCTTAGGCAACTAAACCAATCCTCTGCAAGAGTTCTTGATTGATCTTACTTATCAATGTACTTAAAGTATTGCTGCACCATCCACATCAGAATATTTCAAGACCATGGCTAACTTGTTTCATCTGAGAAAATGATAGTAGTACCAATAGTATTTGACCATAAGCAGCTTTGTTCCTTGAAATTTAGCTCTTCATTTTGAGAAGAATTAAGGAAAGATCGATTCTTTCCTTTCTCTGATTAAATAGTCGATATTCTGGATATTTTTGTAAGTAAAAATGGAAAGAACTCTAAGACAACTGAGCATTTTGGAAGGCTAATTTCAGTGACATGTCAAGAGAACTAGCTGCTAGCTGCGATTTAACCATATATAATCTCATTTTCTGGTATGCATAGCATATTGAAGAATTCAGACAGACAACAATTAGCTAACCAGTTAGAATAACTGTTGGTATTCCTGTTGAGAATATTGAGAGAACTAGCCACTATCTTGCTTGAGTTCATGATGTGATCATCTCTGGTAGGCATAGTATATTGAAGAACTTAAAAAGCCAAGAAAAGCTAACCTGTTGGTATCACTGGTGGTAGTTCCTATAAGGAATGTGCAAGTAGCTGGTGGGACTTTCAGCAATGGATATTGTAGATCATTATGGTAGTTAATGAGAAGAAAATATGATGCTTAGCCATACTGAAAAGTTCTAATATTAAGAATGCTTTCTGTCGGTTATTAGAAATAAAACAGTTAAATGTAATTTTGTCTAATTTGGCTTATGGAAATTGCTGATTTTGTGCTAATTGCTTCTAATCATTGGAGGTTGCAGGAATTTGATAAACATTCTTGCTGAAGTTTCCCAAACAGGAAAGCAAAGGCATATTCCCTATAGAGACTCAAAGTTGACGTTTCTACTGCAGGACTCCCTGGGTGGAAATGCAAAGTTAGCAATGGTTTGTGCTATTTCTCCTTCCCAGAGGTAATAAAATTTTGCTTTTTTAACAATAAAGCATTTTTGCAATGATTATTATTATTACTTTCGTTGTTTTTTTTTTTCTGAAAGTCGGGTTATGTTATGTCAATACTGCAGTTGTAGGAGCGAAACCTTCAGTACCTTGCGATTTGCCCAGCGTGCCAAGGCAGTCAAGAATAAAGCAGTTGTTAATGAAGTAATGCAGGATGATGTGAATTTCTTGCGTGAAGTGATACGTCAACTAAGGGTATGATGCTTTCCCTCCCTGTATATCAGAATTTAATGCATGATTATGACTTCAATGGTGAACTGAACAGGATGAACTACAACGAATGAAAGCAAGTGGCAATAACACAACCGAGTCAAATGGTGCTTATTCAACTGCATGGAATGCCCGTAGAAGTTTGAATCTGTTAAGAAGTTTTGGTCTTAATCATCCACGGACATTACCTCATGTAGACGATGATGGTGATGAGGAGATGGAAATTGATGAGGAAGCAGTTGAGAAGCTCTGTATTCAAGTTGGTCTCAGATCACCAGATGGAGGGAAGAACACAAGAGACTCAACCAAAGTAGAAGTTGTGAAATCAACATCACTACTTGCAGTCACCGATGATGAATGTTGTGGTGTCCTTCAGCCTAAATCATCTGAAAGTGGAAACATAAATGGAGGGGGTTCTGGGGATACTGATGTTAATATGGAATTAGATACATCTGAACATGTTGAGAATCATGAACTCATGATCCTTGATAATGTCAGAACTGTTATTAGCACCCAGGACTTGTCTAATCCTGATTCAGTTCTTGCAACTGTTGATTCTATCAATGTGGAGTCCTCATCAGGGCCTTCTGAAGAGAAGACTCTCGATTCCTCTGCCAGTGAATTTTTAAGGGAAAAGTCACATAGCAAAGTGGTGGAGAATGGATCATCTTGCCCTGTCTCTGATCCTATTAATGAAGCTTCCGCCAGTTTACCAATTATGGATGTGTCAGATGATTCTCAATCTGGTTCACTGAACTGTGTGTCTCCATCTAATCTCAGTATAGTTCCATGCGAAGTTTCTCCAATCCTGAAATCTCCAACTCCAAGTGTCTCACCCAGAATCAACGCTAGCAGGAAAAGCCTGAGGACATCATCAATGTTGACTGCTTCCCAGAAAGATCTTGAGGATGACTGCAAGTTAAGTCCCCAGGATATGCATTTATCTCTTTCAAAGTCCAAGAGGAGCAACTCTTCTACAGTGTCTAATTATAGAAGTAAAAACATCCTGTGTCAACTGAACATCTGGCGGCTAGCTCCATCGTGGTCTGAAATTCTTGAGAATCATCGTCAAAGTTCAGCTTTGGGGAGGTCATCTACAGGTTTACATTTAAACTACAGAGTCTAGGCCAACTTTTCCAATCTGTAAGGTCGACGTAGCTGTCCAAACTTTTTGGCAAGATAACGAGATGCAAGAAGGAGAATCATTAGTATTTTTGTGCAGCAGTTGCAAGAATAAAGCACGATTTGCTGTCGAAGAAAATGAGAGCTCTAACCTACAGTTAGGGGAGGCTAATGAAAGTAGTTGTTCACAGTTAGAATCTAATGAGAGCTCTAACCTACAGTTAGTACCTGTTGATGGTTCAGGCTCCATTGAGAAATCCAAAAAGCAAGTTCCTAAAGTAAGTACAGTTAAATCTCCTATTGGCGTTTTAGCTCTTAATTTTTGGGTGTTTAAATTGGTTTACTTGTTTGAATATTTGTATTTCATTTTCCTTACATTGTCAAGCAGGCAGTGGAGAAGGTTTTAGCAGGATCAATCAGAAGAGAAATGGCTCTAGAAGAGTTCTGCACCAAGCAAACTTCAGAAATAATGCAACTCAATCGTCTGGTAGGTTTCTTATTTTCAAACAGAAAACTTTAAGCAAACTTCAGAAACAATGCAACTTAAGCAAAGTTTGACTCCCTTTGGCATTTGCAGGTTCAACAATACAAACATGAAAGAGAGTGCAATGCCATAATTGGGCAGACAAGGGAAGACAAGATTCTTCGCCTCGAGAGCCTTATGGATGGTGTTTTACCTCCTGAGGAATTCATGGAGGAAGAGTTAGCTTCTCTCATGCATGAGCATAAGGTATAGGTTTCATTTTTAAGGATCTATGTTCCACCTTTCTCCACATTTTGCAGTCCCCAGATATCTGACCTATTATTTGCAGCTTCTGAAGGAGAAATACGAGAATCATCCTGATATTTTGATGACAAAAATTGAGTTGAAACGAGTTCACGATGAGCTAGAGCGGTATCGAAATTTTTTTGATATGGGAGAGAGAGAAGTGCTGTTGGAGGAGATTCAAGATTTACGGAGCCAGTTACAATATTATATAGATGCTTCGTCTGTATCAGCTCGAAAACGAAATTCTCTACTGAAGTTGACTTATTCGGCGGACCCGACTTTGGCTCCACCTCTAGGTGCGATTCCAGAGTCAACTGATGAAAGTGCTGAAGAGAAATTTGAACATGAGAGAATTCGTTGGACTGAAGCAGAGAGCAAATGGATTTCTCTTGCCGAAGAATTGAGAACTGAACTCGAAGCCACCAGGGAACTTGCTGAAAAGCAGAAGCATGAACTAGATACCGAAAAGAAATGTGCAGAAGAGTTGAAGGAAGCAATGCAGATGGCTATGGAGGGTCATGCACGCATGCTTGAACAGTATGCAGACCTGGAGGAGAAACATATTCAATTGCTTGCAAGACATAGAAAGATCCAAGAAGGAATAGATGATGTTAAGAAAGCAGCCGCTAAAGCAGGAGTGCGTGGTGCGGAATCTAGATTCATAAATGCTCTTGCAGCAGAAATCTCAGCGCTTAAAGTGGAAAGGGAAAAAGAGAGGCGATATCTTAGGGATGAGAATAAAGGGCTTCAATCTCAGTTGAGAGATACAGCTGAAGCTGTACAGGCTGCAGGCGAGTTGCTTGTTAGGCTCAAAGAAGCAGAAGAAGCATTAGCTGCTGCCCAGGTATGTAGAATATTTTTTTTTTCGATTCTCTTTGAGTTGGTTATCTATCGTTCGTATGACTCCAAAATGTGAGAATATTTATTGCTATCTTTTATTTATTTTCTACCACCCACTTATTATTTCCGTAAGGCATACAGCTGGTTATGATATTTATCTCCTATCTTCTTTTTGTCGGATTTCATGAGCATAATTTCTGTTCAAAATATACTTTTGTCTCTCTGCATTCGAAGATCACTTCTATTATATATGTTATAACTGATATGGCCATACTTTGTATTTATCCATTGCAAAATCCATGCATATCTTAATTAGTCAACAGGTTTTAGTTACAGAAATGAAAAATCATTTGAAAATAAAAAAACTGACATCTCAAGTACAAAAATTAACAAGCATCCTGCAAAGAAGAGGGAAGAAATTTAAAGCCTGTTAACACACTTGCTCTTTCGAAATTTACAGTGTTGTGACTTCTAAACAAGGAGATAGGATCACTATCTACCCACTCTAGTATCTCATATAATGTTAGCATTAGCGTTCAAGTTTTTCATCTTAATGCTATAGGGGACAGAACAGCACAAAATTTTCTAGTCTCATATTGCAACTACAAAAACTATCCCTAGAACATTTCTCTTCACGGGTGCGACTATAGTACCTCAGACGTATACTGCCTTTAGATTTACATGCAAAACAATTTCAGCCTCTTACAAATAAAAAGAATTAATTTTTAACGAATTCTTCTTATTCTCTTTGGAGGCACCATGTCCGCCAAGGTATGGTAGCATTTTCCTCTTCTTCATTTATCTCATACATTTTCATACCATCACCTTGAGTAATACTTGGCCCAAGGCGGGATCTCCAACCTAGACAAGACCCACGT